AGTCTTTTCTTATGTGACTTTCTTTCGACAGAAATGACATTGAGTCTTATTTTCTTCATTAGCCTTGTGAGTTTCATAATTTGCATTCTTTTTCTTCTTACTTTTGCCTTTCTTGAAAATCTTTTTGGTTGGACCCAAGGTGGTAAGGTGAGCCATATCAGACTTTTGAACTTTAAGCCTCTCTTCTTCTTGAGCACATATGGCAATTAACTCACTCATCTTCCACTTATCTTTGTGCATATTATAATTGATCTTCTTCTTATACGTTTTATGCATCAGAATTGAGAACCATGCTCTAATACCAATTGATGGAAACTTTGCGGAACATAAACTAAGAACCGCGAAGGATTTGATTCTATACATGAAAACTATATGAGTTTCTACTATCCAAAATAACTGTATACGTACCTTGATCCATGATAGTATGAAAAACGTCTTTTGAGTAAGAGAAACCTTGAATAGAAGAACTTGATCTTCAACTTCTTTATTTGTCTAAGATCTTCAAACCATGTTTCTCTCTCTAGGCGATGGGAGCCTTCTTGTGGTGACAACTTGAGTTTTGTGATAGAGAGTGTGGTTTGGGACCTTACACTATTTGTACTAGTAAGCTTTCCATCAAAGAATCCATTCATTCAATGAACCTCATTAGATAGATTAATGTATCTTCTATATTCATAATAGATACATAATGTATCTCTAAGATTCATTCATAATGAATCTATCGCATTCAATGCATTGACACTATCTCCATTAGTCTTCTATATATTATGTATATATAGGTGCATTCATCAATGATTAGTCACCATCTAATCAATGTACATGTATCTTGCTTAATGAGATGAATCTAGTATAATCATGTATAAGCCACATTAAGCCATATTCAGGAAAAATTCTTACACTTCAGCCTAAGGTCTGAGAAATTTATGAGTTTTTCTGAATCTTGTTGTTTAAAGTTTTATTGGGTCGGTACAGTATATCTCGATGATGTTGCGATTCATCACATTTATGGGAATTTATATTTACGATTATGTTTAATTCAATACTTTAGCTGAAGTTGATTTTTCTATAGAGGAGAGAAGACCGGAGCTATATGTTGAGCGTGCATTGCACATTGATGGTGTGCCGTTTGGGCTTCCCGCTAGAACAAGGTTTAGTTGATCTCATTCTTAAATTCTCATGTCAATTTGGTTGGGCAAAATAAAAATATGCATCTCTCTCATCTTATATATATATATATATTATACATCAGTTTTTGAACTACTAGAAGTTACACAAAATACCATGTAGTGTGAAAACAATAATTTGAAGTGGCTGGTTTTTTAATTTTTTTTGCTTGTCTTCCGCGTTTACATTTGCAGGTTAGAATCAGTGGGTCAGACATATTGCTGGAATGAACTCATTACGTTGAGTACAAAATATCGAGACCACCCGATAATGGTTTTGAGAAACCAAATATACCACGTGAATCACAATGCAACATAGAACGCATTACCACTTAGACCCGCCAAATTTGGCGCATGGGTCCCACGTAAAAAATAGACCAAAGTTGAGGAAAAATTTTGTTTTTCCATAACTTTCAAAACCCATTTTTAACAATCTCCCACATGAATGGAATTTGATGACAACGGAACTGCAACAATATGCACAATTCAATGAATAAAGATTACCATATAAAGTACCAGAACCAATCATATGAGAATTATGGAATAAAGAGACTCCATTATTTCCAAACTTAAATTCATAACCATGGGAATCAAGTTGTGAAATAGAAATTAGGTTTCTTGTAAAAACAGGAACATAAATTGTGTTTACTAAATCTAAAATGAACCAGAGTTTAAAATTAGATAGGGGGTGCTAATAACATTAGCGTCCACTTCTATTCCATTTCCAACCGTAATGGTTCGTTCTCCTTTATTTAGTTTTCAACTTGTATATCCTTGCATGGAATTTGTTATGTGAATACTTGCACCAGTGTCAATCCACCAAGAATTTGGTGGAACATCTACCAAAAATGATTCATAAGACACAAAGCATTGAGTGCTACCTTTCTTATCCAACCAACCTTTAAAACCTGGACAGTCTTTTCTTACGTGACTTTCTTTCAACAGAAATGACATTGAGTCTTATTTTCTTCATTAGCCTTGTGAGTTTCATAATTTGCATTCTTTTTCTTCTTACTTTTGCCTTTCTTGAAAATCTTTTTGGTTGGACCCAAGGTGGTAAGGTGAGCCATATCAGACTTTTGAACTTTAAGCCTCTCTTCTTCTTGAGCACATATGGCAATTAACTCACTCATCTTCCACTTATCTTTGTGAATATTATAATTGATCTTCTTCTTATACGTTTTATGCATCAGAATTGAGAACCATGCTCTAATACCAATTGATGGAAACTTTATGGAACATAAACTAAGAACCGCGAAGGATTTGATTCTATACATGAAAACTATATGAGTTTCTACTATCCAAAATAACTGTATACGTACCTTGATCCATGATAGTATGAAAAACGTCCTTTGAGTAAGAGAAACCTTGAATAGAAGAACTTGATCTTCAACTTCTTTATTTGTCTAAGATCTTCAAACCATGTTTCTCTCTCTAGGCGATGGGAGCCTTCTTGTGGTGACAACTTGAGTTTTGTGATAGAGAGTGTGGTTTGGGACCTTACACTATTTGTACTAGTAAGCTTTCCATCAAAGAATCCATTCATTCAATGAACCTCATTAGATAGATTAATGTATCTTCTACATTCATAATAGATACATAATGTATCTCTAAGATTCATTCATAATGAATCTATCACATTCAATGCATTGACACTATCTCCATTAGTCTTCTATAAATTATGTATATATAGGTGCATTCATCAATGATTAGTCACCATCTAATCAATGTACATGTATCTTCCTTAATGAGATGAATCTAGTATAATCATGTATAAGCCACATTAAGCCATATTCAGGAAAAATTCTTACACTTCAGCCTAAGGTCTGAGAAATTTATGAGTTTTTCTGAATCTTGTTGTTTAAAGTTTTATTGGGTCGGTACAGTATATCTCGATGATGTTGCGATTCATCACATTTATGGGAATTTATATTTACGATTATGTTTAATTCAATACTTTAGCTGAAGTTGATTTTTCTATAGAGGAGAGAAGACCGGAGCTATATGTTGAGCGTGCATTGCACATTGATGGTGTGCCGTTTGGGCTTCCCGCTAGAACAAGGTTTAGTTGATCTCATTCTTAAATTCTCATGTCAATTTGGTTGGGCAAAATAAAAATATGCATCTCTCTCATCTTATATATATATATATATTATACATCAGTTTTTGAACTACTAGAAGTTACACAAAATACCATGTAGTGTGAAAACAATAATTTGAAGTGGTTGGTTTTTTAATTTTTTCTGCTTGTCTTCCTCGTTTACATTTGCAGGTTAGAATCAGTGGGCCAGACATATTGCTGGAACAAACTCATTACGTTGAGTACAAAATATCGAGACTTAATTGCCAACTCACAACTTGTATTAACAGTAAGTTATCAGTGTTTCTTTCTTGTCATCATGTTTATATGTGAGCATATATACATGTGTGTGTGTGTGTATGTATGTGTGTGTTGGGAAGTGTCTGACGAGTGTTGTGTCGTGTCAATGTCCGACATGACACATTACCTTCTTAGAAGTGTCAGTGTTTCTTAGGCCATCTCTATGTTAAGATTATTGGGAATGTGGAAACTACTTGGAGCGAAAATGCTTGATGAATGACTGTAGTATCAGGGAGTTTCCATGACATAAACATATACGGGTACCTGTCTTTGCAAGGGTGGACCCAGGATTCATTGATGGGGTGGGCTAATATGAAGGTAAAATTATACAATATATTTTAAGTATAACCACATAAGAAAAAAGAGAATTTAATAATATAATCTACATTAATATCTAAATTTATTGATTAAAAACAATCTAACAAAGTTGTGGTCGATGAGTCTTTAAAGATTTGAATTCATCAATTATAGAATCTAAATCAATTTTCAAAGTAAGGTCTCGTTCAAGGTAGAGAGACAGGCAATCGGCAAGAAACTCATCCCCTATTGTATTATGAATGGTAGTTTTAGCATGCTTCAGACCCGAAAATGCTCTTGCCGTAGTCGGTGTAGAAACTACAAGGATTAACATAAGACGAATCAATTTGTAGATTATGGTGTAATGCTCAAACTTTCTTGTCACAAATAGTTCTCAGCACAAATCGGCAAGGGTAGATTTTTTATGAAACTCGGGATCTCAAACAACATCAAGCTTATAATGCATTAATTGACATTTCAAAGCATGGATGTCCTGAGAAGTGAAATCTTGGGGATAAAATTTCTCTGCAAGATTGCAAATATTATCCACATTAAAAGATCTAAAATTGCCACTTGGATGCAAAGCTGAGCTAAGAGAAAGAAGTTCCACTACCCCATCAGTAAATCAGTGTTCTAACTCTATTAATTGAAAATCAATTGTAGAGTTGACTATGTCAAAGTGATAATGATGCTCAATTGTAATGTGATCTTGTTGATGACGATGACTTGTACCTTCTTTATAAGGAGAACTCATATCACGCACTGCAATGTTATGCCGATTGCAAAATGACACCACATTTGCAAGAAAAATATCCCAATCATCTTGTCTAAGTTTTTGAAGTAGAGCTTTTGTTGTGGAGACTAATTTCATCGCATTTAAGATGTCTTGAGTTTTCTATTACAAGGCTTGACAAAGTGTATTCACAATTCCCAAAATATTGTCCATTAAGTGCAAGACGAATATGAATTCGAAGCTCTTCATTACTTTGTAAATACCATTAGCTTGCCCGTGAATTTGTTGATTTGTACTCTTCTTGAGACTTTCAACAACTACACAAGATGCTTCATACATATCAATCAAGTTTTTAACAGAGTCATAATGCGAGCTCCAACGAGTAGCTCCAGCTTGATGCAAGGTACCTATTTGATTGGCCCCTTTACCAGATTGACGCTCAACATATTTTCAACCTCACTCCTATGAAAAGATTTTAACTCACCAAGACGATTTGGAGAAGAAGCAACAAGATTGACAATACAACTCAAGTGAGAAAAAAATTGCCAAACAGTAGGCTCATCTTTTGTTGTAGCAATTAAGGCCAATTGCAGACGATGTGCAAAGCAATGTACATAATATGCATATGGGCAATCTTTAAGAAATAAAGCTTGAAGTCCATTCCATTCACCACACATATTGTTAGCACCATCATACCCTTGACCACGCATGTTTTGAATAAGGAGATTAAATCAAGAAAGGATATTTGATATCTCATTTTTAAGAGTCAATGCATATGTATTTTAAACACCCACGATATCAAAGAAACGTTCCCCTAGCAAACCATCATTCTTGACGCATCTCAAAATAAGGGCCATTTGTACTTTTTTAAACTCATCTTGAGATTCATCAACAAGAATACAAAAATAACCTCTTGCAACTTCATCAAAAATCATATTCCTAACTCTGTTAGCAAGTATATGCAAAATCCCATTTTGGATCTTGAGAGAAGTGTATTTGGCATTTTGTGGAGCATTCTTTAATATAATGCTCTCAAATGTATCATTCCCTCTCCCCTTGAACTTTAATAATTCAATTAGATTGCTTTGATTCAATGAAGTCGAGCTTTCATCATGACCTCTAAAACCAAGTCCTTGAAGAGCAAGTACTTGAATAGTTTCAATTGTTGCCTTTACCCGCATTCGATTCTTCAAAATTTCTTCTTTTGATTGCACATTCAACACTTTTTCAATGTGTTGGGAAGATTTCTTTAAATTGTCATGACTAATAACACAATGACTATGCGATGAAGATGCAAGTCTGACATGAAGCAAAAAAAAACACATTTGGATCCATCATTTACTCTCTTCCAAATGTTAAACCCCTCATCAACAAGTGTAGAATGACTGATTGACTTATTTGATTGATCAAACAAAAAGCATGAAAAACAATATGCTTTATCCTTTGAAGGAGAATACTCTAGCCAAGAAGATTGTTTATGTTGGAATTAACGATTCTGCTTTCCAAATGAGGACCTAGGATACTCAAGTTTAGGTTGGTAAGGCCCCAAGTTTACATAAGCTCGTCTAACCTCATCCCGTTGATTAACCGGAAATTCACAAATTTGCAAGCATAAACCAGGATCCCGTTCAATAACAGTTGAATGAAATTTGCTTGGTTTATTTACTTGAGGCATGGAAGGCGGTTGCACATCAGAAAATGAGGTTTCGACAACATTGGATGTTGTACTACTATACTTCTATTTTGATTGATAGAATAAGAAAGGGTTTTGCCTTTTTTTGAGTGGTGGAGGTTCCATTATTTACAACCTAAAATTTAAAAAAAAAAATTAGCCCTATTTAATAATAAACCAGAGTATATTCACAATAATTTTAAATATTAAGGTTTTTATATATATCCTTAATAATTTTTATTTAGGTTTTCATTATTTTTATGTATGTCCAAAAAAACTCTATCAAAGTTCAAAAACTAAGAGCAATATAGAACATTGAACAAGGCATCATCATAGAAAAAACTAAGAGCAATATAATATTTGTTGCATAAAAAAACAAAGAGTAATCCATTCTCAACCAAATTAAGATTAAGAAGAAGAAGAAAAGAAAAAAAGAAAAGAAAAAAAAAGGTCAAAGTCATGAATTGTCAGTCAGATAAATATTACCTATACCACTGTAGGCGCGCCCTTGGGCTTCATTGCTACAGTTCGGACTCAAATGTCACGGTTCTTAATCTGATCTCACAATGTGCGATGTGAGATTGATAAATCACCAAAGAGTTCAAATCCGGCAAATTATTTTGGAAAACTGATTTTTGTAAAGAAGTGCCAAACATGGACTGCTTTGCCAGATACAAAGTCGCCACCTAAATATTTTATTTTGGGGGAATTTAGGAAACCCTGACTCGTGCCTAAGGCCACGTGTCCGTCATCACCAAAGTTGCCTCAACTCAGGAACTCG